AGGGCTATTTAAATGAGAATGAACTACTAAAAATAGAAAAAAAATGATCTTAACACTAAATGGAATGATGCAGAGACATAAACAATAGTATATGAAAGCAAATGTAAAAGTAACTAAAATGCCTGAATTTTTTTATGCTGGAATGCCTCCCAGTAACCGCGTTTGAGAGTCCTGGCCAGACTTTCTTGCTTCCTTTGACCTCAAATTTCCTCCAAGAGGATTTCCTCTATGGTAGCAACATGTTCACCTTCATGATATATTTTCAATCTATGCCCATTAACTTTAAAAATCTTATTATTATTGAAATCCCTAATTACTACAGCCCCATGAGGAAAGGTTTCTAACACTTCAAAGGGGCCAAGCCATCTTGACCTCAACTTTCTAGGAAACGAATGTACATATACATATACATATACATATACATATACATATACATATACATATACATATACATATACATATACGTATACGTATACGTATACGTATACGTATACGTATACGTATACGTATACGTATACGTATACGTATACGTATACGTATACGTACATGTTGTTGTATTTAGGTGCCCTAGCGGCAATCAAATACCTATGTAACTGTACACTTTATCATGAATGAAAGGCTCTGAAGTATATTTTATATCTCGTGTAACAGAACATAGCTTCAGTCCATAGACGATAGCGCTTCAGTAACATAGATGAGGACTACGATGTTCTGATTATGAGACTGTTACTTCTTGACGAAGGCTATGTCTAAAATATCCCTAGTCGCACTTTATGATAATACGGACATCATAACGTATCAAGACTAGTACGTACGAGATGAGATAGTTGCGTCTTATAGACTATAGGTATTGTGATATCTTAATCTGTACGTAGGTGCATGTTATATCGATAATATGTGACTGGATTGACCCATCTTAAGAATTCTGCATGGATCTACAATAATGTGTTTATCAGTATTCTCAATTCGACCTTGCTATAACTATCCTTAGACTTGAAGTTATTACATTCTCTGATATGTGGGGCCGTATACTTTGATTCACAACTAATTCTATCTGAAATACTGGTAGACGTACAGTTATGCGTTGGGTATATCGCTAAGCATATTAGGAGATGTGAATAACAGATACAGGATCTGTCCCTTCTACTGTATAGAAGTATAATGTCAATGGGCCCACTGAATAGTAGGACTTGGGAAAGTGCATGGCCATGCCCAGATATGTCGCTATCCAGAGACTGATAAATATCCGATCCCTACCAGTCTACTTGAGATTCAGTAACAGCTGATTTAACTATACAAGGATACACATCCCATGCCTTGTGTTAAATCATGACATTTAGGACAGAAGGATAATAGTTATAGAACGTCTTGTGTCGTAGAAGGTATTGATGAGATGAACGTCTTTTTCATAATCTGGGGGTAATAATGTGTTGCTAGATACTGCTTATTATCTATGGTATTAATTTTATTAATATCATTGCCAGTATTATGGATACCTAAAGGGTCACACACTTAGAACTTGTAAGGGAGTAGTATACTACACTAGTGGGAGTAATATTAAATATATAGTTGTGATAATTTTATACATATATATGTATTTCGAAAATACATATGTATTTTAAAATTATATTTTGTCTGTGTCATTTTAATTATATGATAATTATATTTTGACAAAACAAATTTTATTTTATATATATATATATATGTATATGTATATGTATATGTATGTTGCACCGAATGTGTGTGTGTATATATATATTATTTTAATTTTCATCATTTTAATTATATGATAATTATTGATGTCAAAATAAAATATAATGTACTTTAATATGAGATGGCCGAAGATTTCAAGAGAAAAATCCAATACCATTTTTGATTTTATACATAAAGTATTTTTTAATGTCAAATTGATATATTTGATTATTATTTGATGTAGGGATTCTATTTTGTTTGGTAGCTAAGATATTAAACATTTACACATGGTGTTAAGACATATACATGGACTTATGCTTAACATTAATTTCCTAGCAATTTCCTAAATATACTTTATTATAAAATGAGGTCTTGATTTTGAAAAAGACACGACAATTTTCGGCCATCCCATTTTAGAGAGAAGAAAATTTTATTTTGTGTTCAAAGTTATTTTTCTAATGTGTTAGAAATATACACAAAATATTATAAAGAAATATTTATAAGATAAATATTTTTACTATATATTTATTACTCCCAAAGTAGTATTATTATAGTTTTTACTATCCTAAATTAAACTTGCTAGCACTAGTTTAATCTAGGACTCCGGAGCAAGTTCGTGTGGATACGTTGGAGGCTTCATACGTTTGGCGCTACGTAGATCTCCTCAAAACCATCCCCGACCGTATCTCCCTTCTCTGTTTTCACCGTTAAGGTAAATTTCTTACTATAGCTAGTAATTTACGTAAGTTGTTCTTGGGTGGAATCGAGTTTTGGACGCTAAATTTTTGTTTTCCGCTGCGTCATCCAAGCCTCGTTTCCCAACAGTGGTATCGGAGCCGGCTTACGAAGTTACTAGTTTAGTAGTTATTACCGTTATTGTTTTTGTAGATTAGTCAATAAATTTTGGAGACAAAAATTTATCCCATTATAAAATTTAATTAGGTGGCCATATTTAGATACTGGACCTAATATAATTTTATTTAGTAATTTTCGGAATTACTGTTTGTGGTATTTTTATTAAGTAGTTTATGTATAGAATACTTGTTATTTGTGCCATAAACACTTAATATTTATGAAAATTAGATTTTATATTTTCTGGGATGTATTTGACATGTCAATATAACTCAGAAATTTTAAAATCAATTTTTGGAATTAATTTCCTATTTTTTATTTTTAAATTCGTTTATTGAATAGAAAATAGGAAAACTTATTTTTGACGATCAAAAATTAATTTTAATTCATAATAAGTTGCGACCAGAGATTTTAAGCTTGTGTAAAAATTTTCATAATTTGTATGAACGTAAAAATAATTATTTTGATTTTTTGAAGTAATTGGATCGGTACTATTCACTAGTCCGATTTTTAATTATTTTAAATTGCAAAGTGAATATTTTAAATTCTTGAAAAATCATATTCTGGTTCTGGAACTTATTTTGAACTTGAAAAATAAATTTTGATAATGCTGTAATTTCGAAATATATTTTCACAATATCATTTCGGTTTTCTAGCTATGAAAAATGGTTTTCAAAATTTTAAATTTTATTTATTCTGGAATTTTAGGATTTCCAGATTATTAAAGTTTACTGGGAGTCTCCAATAATTATTTGCTAATTTAGAAAACATATATGTATTTAATTCGAAATAAAATCTCTTTTTCGAATTTATATATATATATATATATATATATAAGCCTAAGATAAAATGGGTTTTAGAGAGAGGGAAGCGTCTGGCGACCGGCGACGCCCTAGATTACAGCGATGGGTTGATCGGAACTGTGATGGTGGTTATCGTCACCGAGGCCATGGATTGAAAAGGGAAGACACTGGAGGAGGAGCATTTCATACTGAGGAGCGTCGAATTGGAAGAACTCGAAAAACTTCACATTCCATCGTCAACCTCTCTTTCAGAATCCAATCCAAAAGGTTTGAATTTCATTTTTCTGCCCTTAACCAGATTATTCAGATCTCAGAAAGGGGGCGATGGAACAACTTTCGATTTTGGATAAATCTTAGTCTTGTTCAGTGGATTAGCTCTTGTTTTGAATTTGTTCTCCAAAATCCTATGGTCACTCTTTGGAACCAAAGCTTTTGTGATGGAAATAGAATATTCAGTTTTGATTTAGACTCAAATGATTCAGGTTTTTTTGTCAAAATTGTGGAGAAGCATGTTAATGGTTATACATCTATTCATGTTCCTGAGGGTTGTAGTAGGTTTGGTTTTAGGTTCTTTCTTGCTCATTTGATTAAGGTGGGGCTTTGGTTTAAGCACAAAACAACTATAGGAAAAGGGATTGTTGGTTTGGTTCTTTCTGATAGTAAGAAGACCACAGGTGAGACTATTTCTAACAATGAGAAGGCAGATGTTCAACTGGATGTGGGCAGAAGTGTTGGAGATGACCTAATGGCCCTCTCTGAAACTAAACAACCATGTTTAATAGCACAATCAAAAGGTGCAAATCCTATTTGTGTCCCAACTGCTAGTTCTTCAATTCAGGATATGGATGCTAAACTACCACCTGCCTCTTTTCAAAAGGAAGCAACCACCAGTGCTAAAAGTCTACATGCTGAGGATCTGCCTTCATCTTGTGATCTCAAGCCTAGAGGTCATGAGAAACAGAATTCAGATCTGAAGAATTTAACTGGGATAAAGGAACGGACTCCTGATTCTAAAGCCAGTCATCTATTGAGTTCATCTATGGGTGCAGTCAAGGCTTCGAGGACAATTGACACAGATCAGTGCATAACCAGTGCAGCAAAAGACAAAGGTTTTGAACACCAAATTGGAATTGCAGAGACCCCTAGTGTACATCCTCGCACAATTCCTAGTTGCAGTCCCACAATGACAAATGATCCAGCAGATAGCTCAGGCTCAGTATCTCTTCACAATCTGGTCCAATATACTACCGGTGCATATCGTTCTGTTTGTGACCAACAACCTAAGTCAAGTGTATTAACGTTACCTATTAAGTCAAAGCCTCCTGGAGTCCTCAATGTTCAGGCTCTTCCTTTCCGACCAGCTTTTCAAGGTGTAAACCAACCTAAACCCATTGATCAGAGCAATCATGATGGATCAAATTTACAGAAGGGTAATGGTATCCAAGTTAAACAAGGTAAATCACTTAAGGAGTTGAAGGCATTGTCAATGCCAAAGGAGGAAGATACAATTAAGGCTACTCCACTAAGTATTTTAGACTTGAAATTGGCTTATGAATGCTCTAAGCCAATCAGCCTCATTGATTTGCCCTTGGTAGTGAATGGAAGAGAAGAGTCTCACTGCACGGAGGAGGGGAAAATATCGGATAGTGACGTACAACATGAAGACGACATTGATAATGACCTTGCTTTTGTGGATGAGGATGCAATATTCATGGGTAAACAAGAAAAAAGGAACAAAAATTCTAAGAAGAAATTTGGGCAGCCTACCGACGATAACCAACTTTTGAGAAGTGGGAAAAGAAGCAAAAGAAGAAATAGATGAGCCTTGGATTGATGCTTATTATCGTTTCTTGGTCAGTAGTTTTTCAAGAATGGATCAGTTGCTACACTAATCCAAAATGCTGTGTTCTTGTTCAATGCTGGGTTCTTGTTCAATGCTGCAGTTTCCTGTTCAATGATGGGTTCTTCTTCAATGCTGTAGTTTCCTATCTAGTGTTGGGTTCTTCTTCAATGCAGCAGTTTCTTGAGATTTGGAGCTTTGTGGATGTGGTGGAATTTCAAGATGCTCATGTTTACAAGGAGAAGGAACACAATGCAAGACCATAACTCGGGCCATGCTTCTATTTAGTTCTTGCTGGTAGTGAGCTTTAATTATAGTGTTGTTTGACAGTTTATGGGTTGTCTTGTTTCTCTTTTGTTCTGGTCTGTTCCTTTCTTTAGTGTTTTGGATTTTTTCTCCTGTTGTTGCTTTGGGTGTGTGTTGGGGACGACCACCTCCCCTTATGTACCTTTCTCCTTTTTAATGAATAAAAAACCTCTTGTTTGGTTTAAAAATATATATATATATATATAAGCCTAAATCAAAGTCCACTTCATCTGCAACCCAGAAACCCGTAGGAGGGATTGCAAAGGGCAAATGTCATCACTGTGGTAAGGCAGGCCACTGGAGGAGAAACTGCAAGACATACCTCGCAACCAAGAAGAAGGAAGGTACGACCATTTCTTCTGAGGTGTATGTTATAGAAGTTAACATGTCTATATCTTCATCATGGGTACTAAATCCTGGATGTGGGTCTCATATCTGTACCACCATGTAGGGACTGAAGTAGAGTAGACGGTTAGCTCGAGGCGAGATTGAACTCCGAGTCGGCAATGGTGCACCTGTTGCAGCTTTGGCAATCGGAACTTATAGTTTAGTCTTGCCTAGTGGTCTAGTGTTGGAATTAAACGACTGTTTGTATGTTCCTACAATTAGCAGAAACATTATTTCTGTTTCATGTCTTGATAAGAGTGGTTT